TAGGCTGCAACAGCGATGAGACGGTGCGTATCGACCTACCGTACATCATTTCAGCAGGGGATTTTCCGCCGAGATCGCTGGTTGGAGTTGAGCGTTATACTTGCAGGAATGTTTGCAGTACTTCCTCGAGCGTTTCTACTCCATCCGAACGAATTTTCCGAAGGCTTCTTTTCACGGTGTCCACAAATCTTTCAACCAAACCGTTGGATTGTGGATGGTAAGGTGGAGTGCGGATGTGCCAAATACCTAAATTTGTGCAGAATACTTGGAATTCGTGTCTTGAAAATTGAGTGCCATGTCGGATACGATTATATTAGATAGTTTGATGGTGGCTTTCGCTGTTGTCGATTTGGTTACCACCAGAAAGTAGACACCATCTACAGGTCCTGCGTAGTCGATGTGAATCCGGAACCAGGGTCTACTTGGAATGGGCCGCGATGCGCAGCGTTTGACGAATTCCTCGATCTCGTTATCCATACCGGGCCAGTATACAAAGCTTCTTGCAATTGCCTTCACACGAACCATTCCTGGATGACCACGGTGGAATTGTTACAGGATCCTTCGTCGAAACATGTTGGGAACGACGACTCTATCGCCGAACATCACGCAGCCGTCGGTTACAGTGAGCGATTCTCGTCTGTTGTAGTAGGGTTGAACTTCAGCATCGAAGAGATTTTTGTTGGGCCAACCATCATGGATATGCTTTGCAACGGTTTGAAGAGTGCTGTTTGTTGCTGTAGCCTTTCGAAGTGCTGCGAAAGAAACTGGTACTTTTTCCGTTGTGTCTGCCAGGATGCTTACCAAATCTTCTTCCATGGTGAGTGCTGCAATCACAAATTCTTCCTTAGGTGGATTGGTTCGGTCGATGAGCCGGGATAACAAATCTGCACATCCGAAGTCGTTGGTGGACACATGTTGAATTTCGAAGTCGTAATTGAGCATCGTGAATGCCCAGCGTTGCAGTCTGTTCGCAGTGTACAGTGGAATGCCCTTTTTTGAACCGAAAATAGACAGCAATGGCTTGTGGTCGGTCAACAATGTGAAATGTCGTTCAAGCAAATACTTATGGAACTTCGTAAATGCGTAGACAAATGCAAGTCCTTCCTTTTCAGGTTGTCCATAATTACGTTCTGCGGGTGCAAGTGTCCTCGAAGCGTGTTGCACAACCTTCATGATGCCATCGAGAAACTGGTGAAAGATTACTGCACCGATGCCAGTGCTTGATGCGTCTGCTGCCACGATGATCGGCAGCTTGGGGTTGTAGTGTGTCAACAACAAGTTTGATTGAAGAACTGTCTTGAACTTTTCGAAAGCTTGCTGACACTCGGATGTCCATTTCCACTTCGTTTCTTTCTTGAGAAGCTTGTCCATGGGATAGCGCAATTCTTGTAGATTGCGTCCGCAGAAGTTGACCGCGCCCACAAACGATCGCAGCTCAGTGACGTTGGTTGGAGGTGGCATTGCATTGATGGTTTTGATTTTGTCGGTGTCTGGACGGATACCTTGTTGGTCCACGATGTGTCCCAAGTAGCGGATTTGCGACTGGAAGAAACTACACTTCTCTGCCTGTTGTGAGTTGAGTCCTGTTGAATAGTCCGCACAGATACGAACCCGGCCGTTTGGTTTACGTACGGCCACGATTGGAGTAGCCCACTCAGAGAAATCGATAGGCTCGATGATACCCAATGATTCCAACCGTGTAATTTCAGCATCGACCAATGGAATTGTGTTGAAAGGAACTGGCCACTTGGGACAGAAAACAGGTTGAGCATTAGGTTTGAGGAAAAGCTTTACCTTTAGCTTCTTGCGATGTCGTTGTGAACACAGTGAATCGTTGAACACATCTGCGTGCTTGGCCTGGAATTCACGTACTTGCTGAACGATTGGTTTTGTCTTCACTTGAATGCAAACCGGATCGATGGGAACTGACCACAGCTCGAAGAGTTCGATCCATTCGATGCCTAGCAGGTTCAGATTAGCAGCCGTTGTGACGAAGCATCTTCCTTGTGCAGTTTTGCCGTTGATTCTCACTTCGCACTCGAACTCACCCATCAAATGGAGCGGCCTGCCTGACGCGTTCGTTGCTTCAATGATTGGTTTCTTGATTGCAGGTTTGCCCAGATAGTTCCAGGTTTGCTTCGAGATTACCGTGATGTCGCTCGCTGTGTCCAGTTGTAGCTTGGTTTCCACGCCGTTGATGAATGTTGGCACGAACTTTCGCTTGCTCGCTCATGGATGTGTCCGCCTTGAGATTGACGAGCCATTGATAGTCGTCGATCAAGTTTTGGAGTGTTAAAGGAGCTTCTGGTGTATCAGCTTCGATCCGGGAGAGTAGCCTGGCTCGTATGTCTGCATAGCAATGGCTTTTGAATTGGTTAATCTTCACGTTATTGAAATCGAAATCCTCGCAAGCACGGTTGACTTTGCCCCAGTAGATGATGATGTCTTCTGCTTCAGATTTCACCAGCTGCAGGCACTGATATCGCTTGTTGAAGATGGAGATCTTCTTAAGGGTTTCGACTGTGTCAGCAAAATTGACGTCTTTTGAAGCTTCAGCAGGATGTAGTTGGTGTACCGGGTGTGTGACGATGTATGCAACTTCCTCAGCAGCAATCGGATCTTGGCGGCATCTTGCAGCTTGTTGGCATCCGAATCGAAAATATCCACGTACCGGCTGTACCACTTCTCGAAGGTAATTCCATTTTCCGGGTCGAACGAAAATTCACTGATGTTCGTTGCCAAAGCCTCGACTGTTTGCTCCGGGTTGCTATGGACTTGATTGGGTTCCGCTAGCTTCTGTAGAAGCGCTGCCATCTGGAGAATTGCTTTCTAAAGTTCTGCCATCGCTTCTGGTTCTTGAATCCTCGTCGCCAAAATGATGTGTCCGGAAAGTAGTTCCGGCATATAAAGATAGCTTGATAATTACTAGAATAAGCATGCAATTTTATTCAAAATTCTCATGCCATGAATGCCAGAATTAACATGGAATCATGCTCTGAATTATCATGAAATTATTCTGAAATTAACCAGAAAACAGTCCGCCTAATGATTATCGTTCATTTCTTTTTGGAATTTCCTTGAAACCCCTTCTAAGAATTTGATTGGAATCATTCTTTGAATTCCCTTGAACCTATTCGGAAACTTTGATTCCTTGGAAACTCTATTAAAAAATTTCTTTTAACTCTTTTAACAGCAGAAATCTTTCGAAATTTGGTGTTGAAACCCCTTGGAGTATTTTAACGAATTTCAATTTTGTTGGAGCTCAGTGATGAATCTTCCAAATCGTTTTAGAAGCTTATTGCTTATCGCATAGTAGCTAATTACATGCTCTCAACTTACACACCAAAAATTGGAATCGAGTTCCAGCAAAATGAATTCCTGAACTGCTTCCAACAAAAGCAGTGTTGACTGAACAATCGGCAATCCTGAAAATGTTGCTGAATGATCAGTTAGCTGCAAAATTTGTCAAACTGTCGATCATTTTGCAAAGCCAAAAATTAAACTCAACTTATTACTTAAGATTGGCGATACACCGATCCATGTTGTTTAGTTTTGCTGAAAAAACAGTGAATATTGCTGGTCTAACGGTAATGAGCTCTCACTTCTGCGTCAGTTTGTTTTGCTGGTTGTTCCGCTATAATATTTTGCTGGATGGATTGCTGAACTTCAAGCTTGGCAAAATTCAGCAAAAATTTGCTGGTTTACGTCAATAAAAATGAGTGTGTAGTGTCCTAGATGCACTTCCACAGTTACTAATTGAGAGCCTTCAATGTCTGTACCATTTTTGTATTAGAATAATTGTGTGGAAAGCACAGTCATACTATATGCCCCGGGAAGTCGAGAAATTTTTCAAACCGAAAATAATCCTAAACCGGACCAGGAATCGAAACCATCCATCTTCAGCATGATCTTCAAATTTAAGGGCCACCCAAATTAGGTCCGTTAGCGTTGCGTTGACGTAAATTTGACAGTTAGACAATAGATTTAGCTGTCACTTTGCCGCAACGCGTCCGATCCGGATCTAATGTGCATGGGCCTTTAGGAAAAATCTGGTAAATTTAGGTGCTCTGAGAGTGACATATACGAGCGTCAATTTTGACATAAAGTTGAGTCATAACAGTCGTGAAATATAGCTCAGTCAAACGTACTTGTTGTCGAGCAACGAACTTGGAGCACTTAATTTTACAAGACATGTTTGTTCACGTCTCATCTTTTATGTCAAAGATGGATTCTGTCACCTGTAAAATTGTTGCTTTATTGCTGCGCCTTTACCGACTGAGCTAAGGGAGGCCCCACACTCACTGCATGTTTGCCTATTAAGGTAAGAGTGACAATCCTTCCTTCCTGATTGAAATACCTACTTAATCATGCAAACAAATTTCTATAATTTTGGGAATTTCGGGAATCTGCTTCGTGTTTATGTTCAGTTCACGAGCTGTAACTTTCCATCAATCATGAGATTTGACGAACGTCCTTCCCGATATGGCTCTTGCTTGCGATATTTGTTCTCGGTGACGCAGCATTTGATGGATCTCCCCCGGACGGACATATTTCCAGAAGAAATTCAAACTTCGTGTGGCATCCTCCTAGCAACAAACGACCGGTGGTGTGTTATTGTTCTCTCTGTTTTTCGTTTCCCTGCGCTGCCCTTCCGCTAGGCCTACAGACAACGGCCCGTGTGTGAGGCTACAGCACATATAACACTGTTTTAGCCAGTTGGTTTCGCTGTGTGCGAGAGCGAGTATTTGTATAATTTATCATCTTTTCCTCTTCTTGATGTGATGTGCCTTGTTCCATCACTTTACTCGATCTCTGATGCTCTGTTCCTCCGCTGCTGCTGCTGCTGCTGCTGATCCATTCATCTGCCTCGTTTTAATTCGATAGTTATTTTTTTTTCTGCACTGCAATCACACAATAATTGTTCGATCGCAATACATTGCCCCAGTCTCCAGTTGTATGTGTGTTGTTATTACTACATAGAATACCTATATCGTTCACAGATCCCCGAGAATCCCCGCCGATATATCCGTGCCGCACTATCCAGAAGAGAAGAGCTGAACTTTGTCGTGAACAGTAAAACCTAAGTCGCGATTAGCCAGAAGAAAATAATATAAACCGTTCCTGTCCCGCAGTTGGCACAGAAGATGCACGGAGAAGAAGTTTGAAGAAAGCCTAAAAGATAAAAGCAGAAGGAAAAAGTAATAGTGGTTAGAGATCAGCAAGATCATCATCTGAAAGAAGAAGAAGAAGCAGGAAAGAGTGAATCAAAGTTGATGAAAAGTAACACGTAGGAGTAATAATAAAAAATATAGAAGAAGAAGAAGAAGCAATCAAAATAGTGCGCGCTGTTGTTGTTGTCTCGCCAAAGTTCGATTCCATTCCCAGCATCAGCAACAACAACAACAACAACACCGAGGCAAAAAAAGTAAGCAGCCATAAAGAAGATAGCCGTATAGTGCGCGAGAGTGATTCCCGTTTGTGTGTACATATATTTCAATTCGATATATACATATAAAATTGTACTCCCAAGTCCGTCTGGCCTGGAAGAAGATTGATCTCTCTCCCCCTCAATCAGCGTCGATTGATTTGCTGGCTGCGGTTTTCCTTTTCGCGTCGTTTTGTGCGAGCCAGATTTTGCGTGCGGTCATCGGCGGAGCAAACCGGGTGCGTGTCCGTGGAGTGGTTCATGTGCGTACGTGCGTGCGTGTGTGTATGTTTCTTTTAGTGCGTTGATTATTAGCTCCGGTTGTTGAAATTCAGCGGAGAAGTAATAGAGGCTAAGGAAGAGACGAAGAAGAAGAAGAAGAAGAAATACCCGGTAAACGGACGCAGAATCCACGGCAAGAAGTAGCAGTTTGGCCGCCACCACTTACCGAGTCTGCTCCGTAGCGGAAGGTGAACGTATACAGTCGATTGACAACCGGAAAAGAGGCTGAGAAAAGTAAGAGGTGAGTTTTCGATTCGTTTGGCAATCTTTATATTTCTGAATAATGTTTATCAATTCGCATTCAGATTCTAGTTTTCTAAATTGGAAGTTGTTACGCTTTCCATTTGAGGGGCACTATACCTAGCTACCATAATGTTACTGTTCCTTTTCGTTTGGATCCCATGCTTCTGTTACATATATACCTTTCGCTAAAACTAAGGTTTATGCCATTTCTGGGGCTTCCCGTAAGTCTAGTCAGCAAAGACGCGGCTAAGACCATGCTGGAGGCAGCGGGTTCAATTTCCGGGCTGGTCTAGGATTGGTTGTTAATTTGTCTCAACTTCCCTAGGACTTACACGGGGGTGTTGTTAAGTGCGTGCGGTTCTTAAAATTTGGGGTGAAGTGAAGCTACTGCGTGCTACTTCGTTAATGGATGGACCCTTAATTGTCTTTTAAGTTGTGATTTGGGACACTGGAATTCTACTGAGATGCAACAAAAAATCGGAGTTCGAAATCCCAAATATTAATGTTTATTAAAGAAATTTTCTCTTAGAATCCTGAATATATTTTCAAGCTTGGAAGTTGAAGAACTTTTCCGTAGTACGGGATACCTAAAATTCAGCTTGAGATCTCAATATAAAAAAAAATGCAAAGTCCAAGAGTTACGAAGACTTTACGAATTCCCTACAGAAAAGTCCTGGAATGCTACTGTGACCAGTCGCTCAGTTATGTTCATTTTGACGTAGGACTACGTCTTTAAATTTCTATACTGGGGGTCACATTAAAATTAATCAAAATTCAGACATGTAACGAAAATTCCCAAACACGGACGTATCGATAGAGCGCAAATCGAACAAACGACACGCGAGCTCAAGGCAATCGGTCTTGAAGACAACGGTTATGGCGATACTGGACATCGAAAAGGCATTCGATTACGTGTGACACGACGGCTTGGTGCACAAGCTTCTGCAATTTCATTTCCCCAGATCATCTCGAACTACCTCGACGGCAGAACGTCTCAAGTATGCGTAGGCAGCGCTCTCTCGGAACCGTATGATGTACCCGCCGGAGTCCCCCAAGGAAGCATCCTGGGACCCATATTGTACAATCTGTACACATCGGACGTACCGACACTGCCGCATGGGGGGTACACTGTCGCTGTTTGCTGACGATTCGGCAATCAGCTACAAGGGACGAGTAATGCGCACTCTCGTATCGAAGCTCCAAAACGGATTGGATGCCTACACCATATATCTCAACGACTGGAAGATATGTGTGAACGTGATCAAAACGCAAACCATTGTGTTTCCGCATTGCAACACCGACCGGCTCAAACCGTCATCGAAGATCGAGGTCCTGAACGCTGAAACTGAGTGGTCACCCGAGGTACGCTACCCTCGCCTGATTCTCGACAGTAAACGTCTCTTCCATTCGCTCGTGCAAGACCGAGTCAAAAAAGGCACCATCATGCTGAAACGTCTGTATCCGCTCATCAACCGTCGCTCGGAAGCATCCACCGTCAATGGAAGGGTTGCGCTATAACACATCGGAAGAAGCTCCAAGTCCTGCAGAACAAGTTCCTGAAGATGATTTTGAATCTGCCTCAGCGCACACCGATAGCCGACGTTCATCGGCTGGCAAATCTCGATCAAATCGACCAGAGAATGACTGCGCTCGCCAGTCGGCACCAAACTAGGACTCTAAATTCAGAGTAAAGGGTGTCCACGATGAAATTGCCACACACAAAATTGATTCGCAAAATTCGAGTTTTCATCCGATTGCCATCAAATTTTCAGGGATTGAGAAATAACTATTAAACTTCATTTTACCATTTTACTCGTATTTTATTTACAGTCCATACGCAAATGCCCGCTACTTGGCCTTAACCCCGGCCATAAGATTCTGCACAACCTGTGAATCAACCGTTTTTTGCATGTAAACCCATACTTTCTTCAGTTCCTCGACTGTCTTCACTACCTTAGGTCGTTTAAGAAGGTGCTGCTTCATAATCGCCCAGTACTTCTCGATGGGGCGGAGCTCCGGAGTGTTGGGAGGGTTGAACATTTTCGGCACGAAATTGACCTTATTGTCCGCATACCACTTCAGCACGTCCTTGGAGTAGTGGCATGAGGCCAAATCCGGCCAGAAGATTGTTGGGACGTTGTGGGCCTTCAGGAGAGGAAGCAGCCGCTTCTGGAGGCACTCTTTTATGTACACCTGTCCGTTCGTCGTGTCCTAGGTCACGAAAGGTGCACTCCGCTTCCCGCACGTGCAGATGGCTTGCCAAACCAGGAATTTCTTCGCAAATTTGGACATCTTCTGAGTGCGGACATGCTCCGGAACGCTGAACTTATCCTTGGCCGTGAAAAACAGGTTGCCGGGGATCTGTTTGAAGTCGGCCTTCACATATGTTTCGTCGTCCATGATGCAGCATTCAACTTTCGTCAGCATGTTGAGGTACAACTTCCTGGCACGGGTTTTGGCGGAATGGTTCTGCTTCTCGTCGCGATTAGGGGCCTTTTGTACCTTGAACGTTCGAAGCCCAGCCTTAGTTTTGGCCTTCTGGACAAAACTTCGGCTTAGGTGCAGCTTCTTAGCCACATCCCTAACGGAGGCGTTCGGATTTCGGTTGAAGGCCCCAACTACGCGGTTGTGATTTTTGGTGTTGTACGGAATACTTTTTCCTTCACTTCTGGGCTTCCGATCGGTGGTCAACCGTTCCTCGAACCGCTTAATCACTCGCGACACCGTGGAATTCGCGATTCCCAACGTTTTAGCGATGGAACGATGCGAGAGATCCTTGTTCTCGTGATGAATGCGCAAGATTTTATCACGCACGAGCTGTTCTTTCGACTCCATTTCCGCGAGTTTTGATCACAGGACTTTAAAACTTACAGGATGTAAATAATGCACTATGAACTAAATCCACCCAAATTTTCATTAAATTCTACCCAACGGTTAAAAAGTTAGAACAATTTTATAGTGTGGCAATTTCATCGTGGACACCCTTTACGAAAAAAATTAGAAATCTTTACCCATAGTTTTGTAAATTGTAGGTTTAGTTAGGATTTAATGTAGTAAGATACGAATTCTGAAATATAAAACGTAAAATAGAACATATCTAGAGTAACATTTGAAATTGGCCTATGTCCAAAACATAAACAAATCGGGTTTTGATACCATTCTTTAGCACCGCTTGATAGCTACTAATCGTGTAGAAAAGTTCCGCATAATCGAGAAACATCATTTTTCGATTCATTTATAGGCCCGCACGCTAAAACGGCCAACCATTCATTTATTTCATTTCATTGATAGGCCTAGTGACGTAGAATAAAAATTTTCAAACCAAAACTAGGCCCAACAGCTTTAAGCAGGGCCGATGCTTTGTTTTGAATTTATTTGACGTTGCGAAAAGGCTTAGAAAAGGGCGTACCATTTCTGATGACAAGCACAACGGCTTAACAAAAATGGCCTATCCATTGAAAGATTCACAAAAAGGCTTATTAATTTATGAAATTAAATTGTTATCGATTTTCATATATTTTTGAAAGCTTTTCGCATATTTTGGATGTTGTATACTGATATACAGTTACTATTGTTATTGTGAACAATATAAATGCCAAAAATCAGTGTTCACTCGACTGTCAATTGCACACACTCTCGGTGTGTGCTACGCGATCGTCTGTTTTCTCGGCAGCAACCATTGTGTGGTCCTCCTCATTGTTCTTCATCAGCAGTTCTTTCGGTCGATGCGTCGTCGACTTTGGAAAGCAACCGTTTCGTGATGAGTGTGTGAGTGCTGACCACGTTTTGCGTCCATTGCTGCAATGGACGCGCTCTGACCCTCGTTGGCGTACAACAATTTGCCATACAATGAAACCACTGGAAGCGGCTCCAGTTCTGATGGAGGAGGCTTTTTGGATAGCGGAAGATAAAGTGTTTATTGTGTTGTACCTTTTGACTATAGTTTTAAGATGTATTGTATAGTGACCAAGAATCCTCGGCTCTGTAAAGGTAATTCGGTTGAGCCTTATCAAATAAATTAATAAACAAAAAAAAAAAAATGCCAAAAATACATCAATTTTCTTAAATATGAATTGAATAGTGGCGGAAAAATTTTAAATTCATTTTCTGGTTTGTTTACGTTTTGGATAGATGAGGAGATGAAAGTATAGAATTGATAGTTCCGTTAGAGTACGGCAGTGTGAAATTGTATATATATACATAGAGTAGAAAGCGAGCTAGGACCACTTTTATGAATGAAGGTACAAATCGGTTTGATCATCTCTCTTTACCAAACTCCCCCGTTGGAGAGGGATGGTGAGGGGTATATCCCCCCGCCACTACAGGGGATGGTTACATTTCTTCAGTTCAAACAAAATTTCGAACCTTCCTCTTGATGGAGCCCATCAGCGTCCGCACAGTGGAAACGGACTGCCCCGCCGCTTCGTCGAAGTCACCGCTTTGAAATAACCCAGTATTTTTCGATTGCACAGAGGAGTAACTGGAACAAAAACCTGGCCAAAATAAGAAAACAAGATTTTCTTGATTTTTCATGCTTCTATATTTTTTATATATTTTTTATATATTTCAATATATGCAGCATAAAGTGGCAGCGGAAAAAAACGTTACATTTTGTTTACAAATTTTGAGACGTGTTCAAAAACTGAAGAAATTCGAAGAATCTTGTTTTCCAAAAAGTAACCATGTAATAATTACGCCTACCAGATATAAACGATTTGATCTTGCGCAATCAGATCATATATTCTATGGACGAATGAAAGTTCACGTTATTATGAACACATTGGCATTGGAATCTCGTCCGGAGTCGTCCGGATTGGCGATTGCGAGCCATTTGAAAATGGCATGTTTTGCATCATTTCGTGGCAAAATTTTATCCCTTTATAAGGTCATACTTCCAGAAAACTTCCGTAACACAACGGTTTTCTGCAGATACCCATGACAAACTTACCGAGTACTACTTTTGTCTTTATTTAATCTATTACATCACTTGTGGTACTA